TTTTTTTCCCCCCCCCCCCCCACCATCTGGGGCGTCTTGGTACTCACTTTTCGCTACAGAGTTTAGAACAATTCTACAATTAAATAGGGGGGTATCCAGCAATATCGGGACAGAATGGCGCGGAGGGCCGCATGTTTTAAAGGAGGTATCAATTTCTCAGTTGTCGTTTCGTTCCGTTCGGGACCTATTAGAAACTTTCTTCATTTTTTTAAACACGGCATCAGGGAGGTAAAAACACCGAATGGGATTTGTGCCTTTTTTAATAGAGTTAGCCCTCTAGCGGCCCTTTCGACGATTTTTAAGAAATTGGCTCACTGCAGACTAGCCCTTAACGACCCGGTGAATTCGCTACCTGTCGAGTAAAATATCGCCGCTGCCCAATTCCAGCATATGACACCTGCTTTTTTTCTTCTATTTGGTTTCAGCTAACAACAACTGTCACAAACATGAATTTATTTTTATATTTTTATTTTTTAAATTCATATTCCATCTGTGAATTTTGACATTGTGGGTGTTTTTGGGCCAGACATATGAATCTTACCGATGTTGTTTTGAATTCAATTGGATACCTTAATGTAATGANCTCATTTCCCAACCTTTTTTAAGAGTTTTCTTTTTTTTGAGAATTTTGTTAAAATTTTTTTTTTTTTTTTTTAATTTTTCGGAAAGGGGATATTTTTTTCCATTTTTCCCTTGCAATACAGTCTGGGTGAAGTGAGACGGTTCATTTTCATTCCCCCGGACTGAGGAGCAATTATTCCTTCCCGCTGTTGAGTGAGTCCTAACGACAGTTGGGCTGAGTGAAACAGCGCTTCACCTGTCTTTCTCTCTCTACTACCTCTCCCGGCGCCCACGTCACGCCACGCTGTGACGTAGCCGCCTCACCACACTCATCACTATCCNACATCTGGCAGTTGAGAACCCCCCGTCTGGCGCGCTGAGGACACGCGCTCGCACGGGATCCGAACGGAAAGCCCCCAGCAGTAAAAATATTATTGCATCGTTAAAATGCGGAGCGAGGGGAAGAACAAACTCAGATACTTCCCTAACTAGAACTAGAGTCACTTCCGACAGACCCACACAAGTCAACCAGAGACCAGCCACAACATCCACCCCGCCACCCTCTAGTATTCAAAGTGACAAAGCGACGGCCTCGAGTTCTCGTATCGCCGGCAATATNCGAAGACTTCGGAAGGCGCAGAACAGCGCCCCCGGGCCTGATGGTCTCAAGTACGCAGACCTCAGGAGAGCTGATCTAGGTGCCAATGTCCTCACTGCAGTTTTTAACGTTTGTCTTCAGCTATCGGCATTCCCGTCTAGATGGAAGAACTCCAATACCGTGTTAATTCACAAAAAAGATGACCCAAATGACCTTTCAAATTGGAGACCGCTAGCCATGGGCGACACTACAGCGAAACTTTTCGCTGCGGTGCTTGCCGATCGTCTAACAGCATTCGCGGTTAGGGGTAAACGCCTAGGAGCAGAGCAAAAGGGCTTCCTCCACTATGAGGGCTGCGCGGAGCATAATTATGTGCTCCAGGAAGTCATCGACAACTCCAAGCGGACGGGGAATGAACTGATTGTGGCCTGGCTTGACCTGACAAACGCCTTTGGATCCATTCCTCATGCCTCCATCTACAGAGCTTTGGATGGCGCTGGGATACCAGCGTCAATCAGTGACATAATAAAATCAATGTACACTGACTGCACAACCCAAGTACGCACGAGTGAAGGGTT